CACATGCAATAAAGAGAAAGTATCACAGGACACAATAAGACAGCTGATCAAGTTGTTTCACCAACTAGCTAACACAATGCATTTTGTTGAGGGTAATCTCTCCTTATACACTGCCTCCAGAATTAAAGTGTAGCTTTGTCCCTAATGCTACTGCTTAGGAAGTGAAGGACAAGAAACTTATTTTTAAAGCAAAAGTAATATTCAAATAATTGATTTTAGCTAGCTAAGAAATCTATCATTAGATTCTCAGTTTTTGGGACAGTATTAGGCAGGCCCTAATATTTTGAAAATTGAAATGTTTACAATTTTTTGATTATATTAATCAATTTAAAACTTATTTCTCATCCTAGTTCAGATGACCAACTACTGACAACCTGGACAGTGGTTGGTCATCTGAACCCTGTGAAGCAGGGAAGTGAAAAAAAAAGCAAAAGATAGATATTCCTTTGTGCACCTGTTTTATATTTTGTAATTTTGGATAAACAAAAATGTTAAAAATACATGAGAAGCACCAAAGGAAAGTCTTGTTAGTCTAATGACGTGACATCACAGAAAAACTAAAAATATAAGACATGTTTAGAAAAGAAGCGTTTAGCTAACATGACTGGACTGCGACTGGATCTCATCCCTCTTGAGCTGTTGTGGGAACAGAATGATAAGGTAACCAAAACATGTCAATCAAAGCTGTCCAACTTATAGAATAGAATAGAATAGAATTCAACTTTATTGTCATTGCACATGCACAGGTACAGGGCAACGAAATGCAGTTTGCATCCATCCAGAAGTGCTTTAGTGATATAGATATATTACAATATATATTAGCAATAATATAGATATGTGAGTATATTACAGAAATGGGTCTATTATGGTATGTTATAATGTACACGGTATGAAGTATGTTGTGAATATTCTATAACTATAAGTATGTACAGGCTGTAGTGAGTACAAGCTATGTACAGGCTATGAACAGGATATAAATATGAAAAACTATACAGAATATGAAATAAATAACTTTACAGAATCTGAGATATACAGCTATACAGAATGGGAACTATGCAAGTTGTAAACAGTTGTAGGATTAAAGATTATCGAATGTACAGAATGATTGTTTACACAGAGCTATACAGTAGTGCAGTTAAGATAAGTGAGGGTGTAGATAGTTTCTACAGAGGCTATATAAAGTGCTAGTGGTTGTGAGTGGTGGTTCAGTCCATGTTATTATTGTGTGTTTGAGGGTACAGTTGTCCATTGTGGGTGTGTGTATGTTCAGTCCATGAGTTTAACGTGGGTCAGATGTCAGGAGGCAGAGTTCAGGAGTCTGACAGCTGTGGGGAAGAAGCTGTTCCGGTACCTGGTGGTCTTAGTCCGGAGGCTCCTGTAGCGCCTCCCAGAGGGCAGGAGGGTGAAGAGTCCATGCGATGGGTGACTGGGGTCTTTGATGATTTTCCCAGCCCTTTTCAGACACCGCTTCCTGTAGATGTCTTTTATGGCAGGAAGTGGTGCTCCGGCGATGCGCTGGGCAGTTTTCACGACCCTCTGCAACCCCTTCCGGTCCGAGGCAGAGCAGTTCCCGTACCAGACTGTTATACAGTTGGTCAGGATGCTCTCGATGGTGCAGCGATAGAAGTTCACCAGGATGTCTGAGGACAGGTGGTTCTTCCTCAGAGTCCTCAAGAAGAAGAGGCGCTGGTGAGCCTTCTTGACCAGCTTGGAGCAGTTGGTCGTCCAGGTGAGATCCTCGGAGATGTGGACTCCCAGGAACTTGAAGCTGCTCACACGCTCCACAGCCGTCCCCTTAATGTGGATGGGTGGATGTGGGTCAGCATTCCTCCTGTAGTCCACGATGAGCTCCTTGGTCTTCTCGGTGTTAAGTGCATCTCCTGACCTAAAGGCAGTGTTGCGGGCCTTCAGGAGGAGACGAACATCCCGGTTCATCCAAGGCTTCTGGTTGGGGTACATGGTGATCCGTTTCTGGGTGGTGACACTGTCTGTGGTTTTGGAGATGTAATCCAGTACAGATGAGGCGTACTGGTCCAGGTCTGTGTGGGTGAACATATTCCAGTCTGTGTTTTTAAATCTGTCCTGGAGCACTGCGTCTGTCCCCTCTGGCCACACTTTAATTGTCCTCACAGCAGGTTTCACACGTTGGATGAGTGGTGAATACCGAGGTGTGAGGAACAGGGAGAGATGGTCCGATTGTCCAATGTGGGGGAGGGGTCAGAGCTGCTTCAGGATGCATGGAGTAGAATTTCTCCAGATGACCTCAACAAACTGACAGCTAGAATGCCAAAGATCTGCAGGTCTGCTTAAGGTTCTTTAAGATAGCAAAGTCTGAAAGATTATTATTAGTTTGAGTCAAATCATGATAAAAATTCTAGTATTTTCTGAAGGACCACAGACTTTTGAGTATATAAATGTCAAGGAAACCCACCAAACCAAGTTTGTTACTGCTCAGGAAGTCCTGTTGTGCAGGGCAAAATTGCCTTCACGTGTATTTCCATCAGCAATGACGAGATGGGACCATATAACCATATTCTGTTGTTTATCACTATGATAATTGTTAGCTAATTTCATTCAGTTTACTTGCTATGTAATGATAATTTGTTAGTTGCTATAGCTACTGTTGGGTTTAAACATGTGCACTACTAATTAATTAGTATATGACTTACTTTCAGCAAGATCTGCTGATGTACTTAAGTGCCAATGCTTGAATGGGGAATTCAGTGTGCAGTCCAATGGTAAGATATGCTTATTAGACTTTGTACATCGGCCTTTCTTTAAAATGAAGATTTTCTGCTTTCATTATGTTTTCCAAAATACCTTGTACATGAGGAACGGGCCTAAATTGTTTTTGGCCTAATGATGATGACTGAAATATTATTTAGTAACTTAACTAGGCCTGCAGTCGCCACAGGTATATGTTTATCTCCACATTTTAGTTATTCAAGTTAAATAACATTTATATATAAAGCAAGCACAAATAACACAAATATATTTAAGCATTATATTGTAGTAATGTTTAGTTAGTAAGTTTGTTATTTATAGACGGGAAAGATCTGCACATTTATTAAGAAAATATTTGGATGATGCAGTTACACGATTGTAAATAGATCACAGACTGCAAAATTAACCAAAGCCGGAAACATCTGCAAAAGTTTACATACCATGAACAGTGGCTCTTCAATCATACTTTTTAATTTCTTGTCTATGAAAGTACATTTTACACGTCAAAAGAAAATGACAACTGGCTTTTTTAAAATTTTATTTTAAAAGAATTTTAACAATGTGGCATGAATTGATCTGTCATTGTAAATGCCCCTTCACATACCACTACAAAGGATTATAAGCACTGTGGGCTTTCTACATTCTTACTGTAGCTGTTTCACTGCTGTGCTTACAAATATTGCATCTTTTGCAATAACTCAAATCCCAAACTACAGTCACGTTTACTGAAAAGCCTTCTGAATTCTGTGCTTGTCTCAGAAACAACAAACTGTACTATGTATACATTCACAATTTATCTTTATCTTTATACCTTTATACCTCTCATTGCATTACCGACTACAAATATTTTTTCCAACATTTTCAAAATAACACTTTTTTGGACTATCATGTCATTTATCAGTCTTCATTTTCATCTCAAATATGTGAAACTGTGCCCGTACTTTTTTCCATGTTAATTTGAGATGGAATGAACCATTAGTGTCATATTTTGGATCAAGGTTTTTTGTTTTTCTCAAATTTCCTTACACACACACACACACACACACACACACACACACACACACACACACACACACACACACACACGTATGTATTAAAGAAGCTTATGCATAAATTCCCTTAGGATGATTTATGGTATCTGATGTTTGTGACATAACTGGTCTACTCCAATCCACAGGCCAATCAGCATTCATGGCGCGTACTTTAAATCTCATTGTGCGTTAGTCGTTCTCATTGGCAGATGCCTTTGTCCAGTCCACCTCCTCCTCATCCCCACCTCTCATCACTCAGGGTCCTCTGAAGCCTCCATCTTAATCTCCACTACCAGGGTCTAGACTCCAGGGGTCCTGCTCTAATTCCTACTACCGCTGGGGCCATTGGAGTCTGACTGCCAAATACCTCTGTCTAAATTCTGTATATCAAAAAAATCATGTTCACTCTCTTTGTTGAACTATCTTTGTGCTATGTTCATTGACCTAGTTCATTCCATTCCTGCAAAGACTTCCTTAGTTAGCATTAGCTGCTGCTCAGGTTCCCTTTATGTGTGCTATTTTTATGAGCAGTCATGCTTGCAGTGACTGTACTCTTACAGTTGAATGTCTGCATGTGAGTTTTTTATGGGGTATCTGTAAATTTGCTGTGTTTTGCAGAAAATACCCTGGGTTACACGTTCACCCTTACATACCTTATTAGTCAAATAACTGTCACCAAGAGCCATTACACCAATGCTAATTCTTCTTTTGCTGAAAAATAAAACAGTTTTTATCAGCATTCAGCAGTAGTGACCTGAAAAAAGTACGTTCAGGTAGTTGTTTCAATTTGGTGTAGCAAATTTGTTTTGAATCTAACTGATACTGATATTGTTTTGATAGTCTGATATTCTGATATTACCTGCTTGCTTAGCATGCTAGCTTGCTAATTAGTTAATACAGAGTTTGCTTTAAGCTAGTGTTCCTGAAATTATATATTATTTTGTACTACAAGCTCGAGCTGACTAATACAAAAACAAACAGATCAATTAATTACTGTATAACTGACTTTCTGCGAGACTTGGAGAAGTATAGCTAGCTGAAGATGCTTTGTTAAGCTATTGCTTATATAATTTTGTTTTTAGCTATAGCTGCTATATTTTTCCAATTATTCCAAACTACGTACCTTAACTGGAGTTTAAATATTTAACTAATTTATTTAAGGTGTTTATCAGTGAGGTAACTCTTTTTTTTTAACATATACGTTATAGAAAAAATTCTGTAGACATACAAAATAACACTGAAATGTATTATAGTAATGCTACATTTTATTATTCAGGCATTTATTTTTGCAAGCAATTCATGTTACACAGTTGTGCATAGATAGACAGTTGTGCATGGGTAAAAACAGCTGCATTTTTTTTTTTAACAATTTAAAGTTGTCAGCTGATAAAAGGAGTAAAACCAAATCAAGTTAGGCATAGCAGCACCTCCAGCAGACTTTGCCATTACAGCACCTGCCGCAAAAGATACCACGCTTTTGTCTTCCATTATGCAGCATCTATGTAAAAGACAAGAAACATGAGCACAGTGTTCATCTTCAGCCTTACAGCTCACTCTTGTTTGTGCTCTGTAGCTCCCTGCTGGGCACTTTTAAATTAGCCCAATGATTCATTCAAATATCCCTGCTCACCTTCCACGAGTTCACTGATATCTCTTCAGGTTCTGCAGCTGGATTGTCAGTGTTCATTAGCTCCACCAGCAATTGCTCCTATTAATGAGTTGTCATGTTTAGAGCGAGAAAATTTACTACACAATAGAGTTATTAATACTGTAATAGTAAAGGTTAATTTCTTACTTCAACAACAGGGACAGCAGAGCTCCTCAGAATACACATAATTGTGACCACAATGGCTACTGTAACTGCAGCTGTCAGTGTCTTCATCTTAAGAGGTTTTAGCTTAAACTTCTTGCTCTTCTCTGATGTTTTGATGTCTCTTGTTGTCAGCTCTTTGAGATTTTCTGATCCGATGGCTGAGTATAGAAAAAGTGCCAGTATTTATATTCCCTCAGGCTTTTGTTGCCTCATAACTGGCACCATACACGAGACGCTCGGGAAAATGGGTGAAAAATTTCCAAAGACTGGTAAATTTGGAATTTCTTCATGTTTTACTCGTGTCTGCTCAATCATTAACTTCTTTCTGACTGTCATGTCTGTGAAAAATGAACCTAACTGCAGACTCTGTTCATTGGACTGCTATCTTAACAATTACTGCAGTTTTTGCAATGACTAAAATCCCTGGCTTCACTGTGTCAAAGCCTTTTGACCTGTGTGCTTGACTACAATGTCATGGTCAACAAATGATGAAATGTTTTTTGATAAAGCAGGAGCTTGACTTATCTTTGAACCTCTGCTGAATATACTATCAGCCACATAATAAAGCTTTTACCACATCTCTGACATTAACAGCATGACGTAAAGAATAAAGTTCACTTTTCCGAGATTAATGAATACGTAAACTACTGATAAACAAAAAGACAAAAGAATTGACAAAAAGAATTTTGCATTAAAGTTCGGGATTTGTAATTTAAGATTGGATACTCTGTTTGATAAAAGTATAAATCTGTATATGAATGTCTACATTTTTCTTGAAGTTGGGTCCTTTGTGAATTCACCATTTTAAATGTTATCAGTGATATAACAACGAAACTATAGCGGAATATGTTACATGAACTATAAAAGATTGAAACCATATTATGTATTTAGAAGTATGGGATTATGGAAAGTAGCAATAGGACATAAATAACAGATATTCAAACGCTTGTTTGTAGCCTACATGTGGGTGATTACCAAATCCACCAGAAACATGATTAAAAATAGCAAATTGACAAAAAAAAAAAGTCTTCTTAAAATTTACACACAGAATGAAGTAGTGAGATTTCTTCTCCTGACGTATGGTAGAGTCTGCTGATACATTATTTACATTCAGCTGGGTCACTGTTGCCTCATTGTTGGCAGCCTCATTGTTGGCAGCCTCATTGTTGGCAGCATGTAACTGCCTCCAGGAGGGGGCTTGGAAATTGCAGTGAATGGTTATGGGAAATGAGAATTTCTTGATTTTCTTGGCTGAACAGTCTGTAACTAAATCAAATCAAACCACAACTTTTAAATTAAATCATTTCTGTATGATGGGTTCTGCATGTGAAGTAAAAATATGCATCTGTTACAACTCAGCAAAGAGCAAGCCAGCACTAGATCAGGTGTTGCATAGCTGCTCTACACTGATGCAAAAATTCCTCATCAAGCTGACCTACTACAGTTTTCTATTTTTTTATTGCTCCAGTTTTTCACTGGAGGTTCATATCGTTCAGATGCAATATTAAATAATCTCAGATTAACAGAAACACCATGAACTATTTCAGCTCTCGTGCTTTCTCCAAGCTACTTGTATGTACCTTTGAAGGTTTCACTGGTTCCCCCTCATGTGTCCATCAAACAATTTTGCATATACCCAATATTTTGTATTTATGGTACTGCAGTTGTAGTTTTGCCTACAGAGACTCCTGCACAACGTGTATGATGTGGTGCATTAGCCAAATGCTAATTGGTTAACAATCGAGCTGGAACAAGGAAAGGAGTGACAGCGGCAAAGACCAAGAATACGACATGAAAAGTACAGACAGTAGCTGCAGTGCACACTCGGTTTCACTTCAGTTCTTTGTATGTTATAAATTAGTTGTTCTCCATGGCTGGCTAATTTACAACAACGCAAGCACTTATTTTTGACACTGCCCCCATTTGACAACAGATACTCTCTGCAGGTAGATGGACGGTCTGAAGCTGCCAGCGGACTGCTAATGGGCTACCACAGCCGAAACATAATTTTCCTTTTAGCATTGTAAAAAAAACTTTGTAATGTAATGTAATCTCACTCCAAGAAATGGAAAAGCAGAACCCTTCTAATTGTAGACAAATGTTAGGATGGCAGCCACTGCAGCTGCAACCCTGAACGTCTTTATTTTCAGAGCAGTTTTGAGTTCTGCCTGTTTGTTTCAAACAAACAGCTGGTCTGTTAAGTTCATGCTGCGTCATCACTGGCAGAACCTGCATGCTTCCCGAATGACACTGATGCTTTTGACTTTTGGCTATATTTCCTATTCCACTACATCAACCATGACATTTATTTTCAGTAACTGCGTGTTTACCTGTGACAAAAAGAGCTAAACTCCACAGTATGGTGACCGGATTGTATGGTTTTGTCACTATACAGTCAATGGAAAGTCCTGCTCCAGAGAAAGGTAATATCTTTTGCTTAGGAAAAGGGGGCTTTACAGGCACTAAAATGGAACAGAATTTTCACCACCTTTGCATATTACCTACAGATAAATCACAAAAATCACCTTGAGACAGAAATTTCTATTTAACTTAATTCTTAATTGTTTGTGTAATTCAGTGGTGCAGCTGGCGTGGGGTATGAGGTGAAATCAGGTCACCAGCCCATCAAATGGCCAACACTCCGAGACACCTATTCACACAGCCAATTTAGTGTTGGTGCAATGGTATTTGGGTAGTGACACAATTCTTGCTCAGTAAACTCTCTGTATTTACAATAATTATATTGTTTAAGTCTAACCTAGACTATATCTTTCAGACTGTCCTTGACTTAGACAGATGTTGTGAAAGGGTTTTTCTTGACCAGTAATCTGCTGTATTTGTCTTATGTGGTCTTTCAAGCCTTTTGGTGTTGTTGACCTGGTCGTTGCATTGTTAAGGATGCACCAGATTATTGATTTGGCCACAGTTTTTGCTGCTTGTCTGATAGTCTGCAAAGCCCAAATAAACCTAACAATGGCTTCGTTCGCTAGTACTGACATCTCTTTGGACTTCATATTGAAAGCTCCAGAGAAAAGATATTAAATGAAAGCTCAACACTTGGAATCAATCACAGCTCGTTTATCTGCTTAATTTGTTATGGAGTAATCAGGGGATCCACCTCGGCTGGCCACAGAACTGCTTGTCAATCAATTGCACAATCATGTTTGAGTCTGAAAACAGGAAACTGTTTAAAAATGGCTTCCATCCATCCGTCTGTGAAGGTTCTCAGTCATCCAGCTCATGGTAGTCTAAGGAGCTTAGAAAAGCGTCTGGACTTCTTAACCCTCTCACTCTCAAATTAAACTTTTTGTTGTTAATGCACAACCAAGTCCTGCAGTGGTACTTCTGAGTAAAAAAAAAATCATAAAATATGTATGTGGGGTAATCAGGTTGTTAGTTTTTAACTGTTGCAAATCGGCAACGCCTGCCTCGAGAGGGTTAAAGTTGCTTGAAGACGTTTCACCTCTTATCCAAGAAGCTTCTTCATTTCTAGGGTCAAATGGTGGAGAGTCCCAGATTTAAACCCTGTGGGAGTATCCCCCAAAGAGGGACAAAATGACCCCCTAATGATCCTCTACCTAATCACATGAGCCAAGGTGGCTGATTGTGACCTAGACCCATTTTCACACCTTGGCTCATGTGCTTAGGTAGAGGATCATTAGGGGGTCCTTTTGTCCCTCTTGAGGGTAATACTCCCACAGGGTTTAAATCAACAGGGATTTTTGTTTGCTTGTTTGTTTTGTTTTGTTTTTTCCAGTTTTACATCATCCTGCCACTATCGCACGATTGTGCAATTCTGCTAATCTTTGGTGGAACAGTGTTCCATTTCTAGTCTTATAATACTGCTTATGAAAAAAGTGATTATAATGTCATTTTTCCCTTCTTTTTTTTTGCCTGTCCCATTTGGTTCTTTAGTCATCAAAATTGTTGTCTGAAGACCAACAAGGATACCCAATGGATTTACTTTGCCAAATGGATCATCACGGCCTTGCCGTATTGGTCCATTTGATCGACCTTTGTTGTTATTATTTATTTTATTTTATTTTCAGTTGTTACAGACGGGACAGACATGACTGGGGGATAGGAAAGGTAGAAAGAAAGATGAAGGAAAAGAAAAACAGAACGGAAGAGGGACAGTGAGAAAGGGCACTTAAAAAGAGAAAGAAGAAAAAAAAATCTCCTGGATCACCTGTTGAGAGAAAAAGAAGAGAAAACAAGCAAAAAAAACCCAGAGCAACATACTAAACATAACAAAATCACATTAATCTAGCTAAGTGTAAACAGCAGTAAATACTAAATATTGAACGTTGTTGTTTAGCAAGCAGGGAGGGCCTGGGAGTTCCCAGAGAGGTGGAGTGCAAGACCCGACCTGACATATAGACACAGACACAAACATGCATTCCCACCCTCATGCACACATATACAAATACTCAGCACTCACCCCATGTAGGGATAGATATACATGGACACTGTACACACAATCACACTCCCCAAACAAACTCTATACCCCGGGTCCAGGTACCCTCGCCCCTGGAGGGGGAAACGGCACCTAGACCCAGGGGATGTTACCCTTTCCCCCGGGGTGGAGGCAAGCAGACCGCCCCAGGCTCCGCAGCAGCAGGGAGGCCCCGCATCCCAGATCCCAATCGGACGGCCAACACCTCCTTCCAGCCCCCCGCCCTGATGGCAAGCAGAGAACAGGGGTGTGTGAAGACCCCAAACCTCCCTCCTCTTGCTATTGTGTAGTGTTGCTGCGTGTTGTTCTAAGGTGCATTTAAAACATGGGACAGCATGGTGCTGCTGCCAGAGAGCAGCAGGTGTTAGCACGGCCCCTCCCGAGAACCCTCAATGTCTACATGGATTTAAAATTGAGAGGTGGGCACCGGCGCCAGAGGTGGGGTTGAATACACAGACCGTCCACTGGACGCCGTTAACGTGCCCACCCTCAAGGCCCTACATGTATGTGTTATGAGAGTGTGAGTAATGTGGATGTCTAAGTTGTGGAATAAAATTGAGGCACAGGTGGCCAGAAGGGGACAGAGGGGGGGGGAAGCCTCCCCTGCACCCTGGTGACACACCCGCACCCCAAGGTCCTACTTGTGTGGGTGGGTGTGTTGAGCGGGAAGAGGGAGGCAGCCGGGGATGGGGAGGAAAAGAAGGAAGGAGCAAGAT